GGGGCCGCCGCTCGGCACGCGTACAGCCTAGCCTGGATGCGCCGCGCGCCCGCCCCGGCCAGTCAGCCGACCAATCCGGGGCCGGGGAGGCTGCCGTGGCGGCCAATCAGGAGCGGGAGTCCTGCTGCGCTCAGCTAGAGGACGGGAGGAGGCCGAGAGAAAACCTAGGAGGGAACGGGCCTCAGGCAGCCCAATGAGGGGGGGCGGGGGGGCGGAGGTGTGCAAGTTGGGTTGCAAGAACAGGAAATATTCTTAAAGGTAGAGTGACTGGCAGGAAGGAAAGCCAGTAGGTGAATGGAAAAGAGGTGGGCCTGGTTCCTTAAAGGGCGCTCAGCTAGAGGACGGGAGGAGGCCGAGAGAAAACCTAGGAGGGAACGGGCCTCAGGCAGCCCAATGAGGGGGGGCGGGGGGGCGGAGGTGTGCAAGTTGGGTTGCAAGAACAGGAAATATTCTTAAAGGTAGAGTGACTGGCAGGAAGGAAAGCCAGTAGGTGAATGGAAAAGAGGTGGGCCTGGTTCCTTAAAGGGGACGCTTGGAGAAGCTGGGAAGGGTGTTTTAAGAAAGTTCCTCGCCTCCAGTTGAGTGGTGTGCTGCTCTAGTCTTTCAGAGAGAGCTTGGAAGTGGAAGAAGTGGCGAGGAATAGGGCACTAGAGGCTTTCGGGGTTAGAGAGCTCTCTTTAGACTAGAGGGCCAGAAGGCGGGAAAAGGGTGTAGAAAGTAGAGAATGCGGTCGTGCCCTGCTTCCCTGTCCGTGCAGGATCTGCCGACCTGACGCTGCTGGAATTCCTAAGCAGTGGATGCTGACGTCCTTTATTTGCAAGAAAGCAACGAAAGCCGCTTTCAGAAATGCCCTCCGTTCAGCTCCCTACAGCTGAAGGGAGAGTGGTAATAGAGGGGTGCATGCTGGAACCCCAAGCTTAGGTTACTCGACACCTGTATCTAGGTGATGTGGGACACGGGTCATGGTCCAGAGATCTGAGTCCTGTAACTCCAAGGGATTTGGGCCCCTCGAACCGTGGCCCCAAGGACCTTTTCCTAGTTTCGTTTCATAGTTCATAAACCCACTCGCCCCGAGACAAGGTGTCCTCCACCTAGTGGTGGTGAAAGACTTCCCAGCTCTTTTTCTACAACCAGATTTGGAAATGTCCCATGGGCCAGGTAAACTTCCAGAAGGTTCACACAAGGCATAGTGGGAATTACTTCAACCTACACACAGAGGAAACAGCCCTTGCACTGAGAAAAAGGTAAACAGTAACTCCATCTTTGTTTACTTGGAATTTTGAATAGCTGTGGTGAAACAGGTCTTTAATGCTGCTTCAAATCTGTGGCACTAATAAGCAATCTGAAGTTTTTCTCTGCTTGGACCCTTCTAGGCCAGTGAGTTTTAATTGGCCTCGGAAGGCATTTGGCACCCCCAAATCCAAGCTGTAGATAAGACCTAGGGATTCAGAACCATAGTAGTGGTATTAGGACCACCATGAAACTGTGTAATATTATTAATATGTCCATCTGCGAGAAATATCAGTTCTTAAAACTGAGGTATTTTCGGGAACAAATAGCAAGTCCAGTTTTGTGAACCACAACTTTCTTTGGTATAGATTAACTTTTAAATTTAATCCTTATTCCTAAATTGAAGTTCAGGTCCCAGCCTAGCAAGATGACCCAGTGGATAAAGACACTTGCCACCAAGCCTAATAACTTATGTTTGATCCCTAGAACCCAAGAGGTGGAAGAAGAGGACTGACTCCCACAAGTTGTCCTCTGGCTTCCAAACATGAGTCACGGCATGTGCGCACACACACAAAAAAAATAAACTGTAAACAAAATATGTTTTAATGGAGTCCAAATTTCAACCAGGGGTCTTTTTTTATTAGCTTTATTCAACATTGGTTTACCACAGATGGAGATAACTGATATTAAATAAGGCTAGCTGGTATAGGCTCAGTGTCTATGTGGTAATAATATACAGTGGCTGGGCTGGAGAGATGGCTCAGTGGTTAAGAGCAGTTAGTTGCTACTCTTGCAGAGGGCCCTGCACACGCATGGCAGCTAACATCCATCTGTAAAGCCAGTTCCATGAGATCCAACATTCTCTTCTGGTCTTCTCAGGCATCAGGAACCCATATGGTGCAGTTACATACATCAGGCAAAACACTGATACGCATAAAATAAATCTCTTATCTACTTATACTTATCCTCATACACACAGTGGCCAAGTGAAACTGGTCTGTCTTCAGGTCAAGTCTATTCTTCAGAGTCAATCTGATTTTCACCATCACACTTGAGACCCTTCCATGGTGCAGAAAGATTTGCATGATTTACAACCGCTTGTTTGCACCGTTTCATTTCCCAAAAGGAGCCCCCTGATACTGGAGTTGAGAACTGAACTTCAGGGTGCAGCCCTAGGGAAGACCTCTAGGTTGGGTTCCACCCATTCTTTCCTTGCTCTAACAGTTCTAAATGTTCTCTTTCTACTGCATCCCTCTTCTCCTACCTGCCCACATCCTCTACTGCCAGCACAATGGAGGTCCTGTGCTCACACCCCATGTGCATCAGACCACAGAAGCTACTTGCTGCCTGCAAATCATACCCACTTAACAAACTGATGTTTTGTACATTTCTCCAGAGTGGAGAATTAGGTTAGCATTTTTATTTTATTTTATAGACAGGGTCTCACTGTATATCCCTGGCTGGCCTGGAACTATGTAGACCACAGAACTCACTCACAGTTCACATGCCTCTGCCTGATCTGCAGAGAATCAAAGGCATGTGCCACCATGCCCAACTCGTTTTATTTTTGGTCTTTTTTAAGACAGTGTCTCCCTGTTACTCCAGCTGGCCTGGTACTTGCTATATAAACCAGGCTGGCCTAGACCTCACAGAGGTCCACCTGCCTCTGCCTCCCGAGTGCTGGGACCAAAGGCACGCGCCACCATGCCAATTTCTTGAGACAGTCTCACTGTATAATTCATCATTAACTAGTAATCCTGCATCCACTTCCCTAGTGCTGTGACTACAGCATATTTCCATATTCTATTTTTTGGTAGTTTTTTTCAGATATTAGTCCAGTCTAAAATCAGGAAGTGTGTCTCACTGACTTAGAAACGTCTTCGTATGCTATTAGATATATGCTGTACTGTATTTTCACATAGTTGGCTTTTCAGTTTCTTTTCTTTGCCTTGGATAGGTTATGTTTATTATCCCATGTCATCCACACAATGCTGATGAAGAAAAAAATCAGGGCCTGAGAAAGCAGTCATTATTTCAACATCACACAGCTAGGTAGCCATGCTAAGGCAGCAAAAGGGCACCATAGAGACACCAATCCTGCAGACATTTCCCCATGCCTTCATAAGTTCATCTTTTCTCAGATCTATTACGACTCTCTCAAACTATGTGATGTTTTCCAGAACAGATGGATCTGAATCTCAGCCAGTTATGTCCTTGATGTAATCAGAAGTCTTTTTATTTAGAAATATTCTTAGAATACGCCAATATAAAGCTTTATTGCCCTGTGAGTCATCTCTGAATTTTCTTTTCTAAAACTATATTTTATTATGTTTATGTGTATGTAAGTGTACCACATGCATACAGTGCCCTGCAGAGACCAGAAGAGGGTGTTCCATCCCATGGAACTGGAGTTATGAACAGGAGTTAGCCACCATGTTGGTGCTGGGAGTTGAACCTGGGTCCCCTTTTTTGGTCTTTTTTAGACAGGGTCTCCCTGTAGCCCCAGCTGTCCTAGAACTATGTAGACCAGGGTGGCCTTGAATTCACAGAGGTCCACCTGCCTCTGCTTTGGGAGTGCTGGGAATAAAGGTGTGCACCACCACATGGCACAGCAACTGTTCATAACCACTGAGCCATCTCTCCAGTCCCTCATCTCTGAATTCTTATCTCTGATGAAATACCTGTTCCAGCAACTTTTACCTTTTATATTGCTCTTTGGAGGAAATACAATTGTTTACAAAGAAGTTTGCACTTTTATCCATTTGAGAACAAGATTTTCTGAAAATCCATGACACAATGTATGCATGTGGATTTTGCATTGAAAGCAAATTCACCACTTTGCCCTTCAGTCTTTCCTTAAAGTCTCA